TGTTTGGGCAGCAAAACCCAGGCATTGGGGTTCTTGGACATCATGGTTGGCTTCTGCCAAATTGCAAGGCTGAGTTTACCTGATGTGCAACTTAAGAAAAGAAGTCAGGTCCAGAATGTCCACTCTGGACCCATGAAACACCTAGCCTGGTATCTGTATGAGGACAGTCACTCCTTAGGCACAACAGTTTAAAGACAGCCTGCAGAAACCTCCAGTCTCGTTAACAAGCACCCAAGCAAGCAAACACAGCAATTAAAAATCTGGGTTGTCTGAGGTGTTTTTTCCCATCTAAGTGGGGGCATCCCTGGGGCTCCAGCTAAAATACTTGCTACACCTGTTTAGCCTCTGTTGCATCCTCCCAACACCAGCACAGGCTGACTGTGGCCGATGGCACCAGATAAATATAAGGTTGCCCTGGAATGACGGCTTACCTCACACCTAGAGCTCCGGCCCACCCTTGCCTTGGCAGAGATAAAGGTTTCCAGTATGCTTAGCTGGGGAAGTGCGGGGCCTGTGAAGAAGGACTGAGGTTGAGATGCCATGGAGAGAGGGCATTGGGACTTTCTATCAAATGTCGCACTGAGGCGATGGAAATGAGTTCTGCTCAGCTGTTCTCTGTCAGCTTGGGATCACAAGCCAATCCTTCCCTTAGTCCCATCTTCCCCCATGATTATTTTTTTAAATGGACCAGCTGTGGGCCATCCTTTCAGTCCTATGAGAGAACACTTGGGGACAACTGGGCAGGGCCACCTTGCCAATCATGTAAGAAGGAAGCTGTTGTCTGGCCTTGGAAGGACAATCTCAGAGTGGCTTTCATTTTCTACACATGGGGCTGGATGTGGGCTTTCCCCTTAAGTTGCCCCCATCAATGGGGTATATAACTTGGCACGTTTCCAATTGCTTGCACCTATGCCTGGGGACCAGCTATTTGCTGCATTGCTTCTAGGTGGCTTTTTAAGAGCATGTAGGCATGTTACTGCACATTTTCCAAGCAGGGACAGGGCAGGGGTGGGATGGCAGGGGTAGACTCTGGTGCTGAGCAGTTAAAATCCTAGCAAATAGGAGTCAGGTCTTCTAGTCCGTCCTCAGCCTTGCCCTCACAGGATCTCACAGGCCCTGCTCAAGGCAAGCCAAACCTTTCCTTTCCCAAAAATGACAAGCTGCCTTTGCATAAGCTAGCCATTTTCTGAGCTAGATGACCAGGGAGCGCTTCCTTTAATGGTCAGCTCAAAGGTGGCCTTGTGCCCTCCTTCTGGGGAACTTGTTCAGTACTTGGTCCTTACCTTTGGAGCTATGCTAATCCCTCTGTGCAAATGAGGGGACAAAAACAGTCAACTCTGTGCCCAACTAGATGGTACTATGGATGTACTTCAAAAAGCACTGCTAGTGAATATGACCAATTACATGGTATGCCTATAAGAGAAACCCATTGTGATACCCATTCACTAGATATAATGACTATATACCAATACAAATGTGCATTAAGAAAAAAAGCAAACACACTTAGAAACGATTTATGGAAAGATGACTGGGCCAGACAAAGAGATCACTCTAGACGTGAACTGAGGCCAATCCTGAAGCTTCTCACACTCAAACTGGCTTAGAACATGTTTTTACTACCAAAGGTCACAAGTAAAACACCATTGCCAAGGACTTGTTTAAATAATTGTTTTTAAAATGTCTCCAGAGGGGAAAAACTGATATAGGCATTTCATAACACTATCCTGGGGCTGGGGGTGGAGCTGGGGTTGGGGAGGAAGCTCTTCATCCCAATGTGACTCCAGCCACCTTCCCAGTTACAAGACAGAAATGCTAACGGGGAGCAAAATCCAGTGCCCTCCACCTTATCCATATGTAAGAATGCTGAAGTCACATCTGTGCAAGGATCTATTTTTAGTGGACCCTTCATACTAAAATCCTAGCCTTGATCTCTATCAAGTCTACCATAAATGTTTGATGATGAACAAGCCCATAAAAAGAAAGGACATGAAATGAATAGAGTCAACGAGTACTCTGCCTTTTAATTACAGAGGCTTCTGCTAAAATCCTGCTCCAGGCTGGGTGCAGGCAAAGAAAACACATCAATAAGTTGAGTGGAGGGAGCAGAGTGAGGATACTGCAAACAAATATGCTTAACTACATGGTTATTTATACTGTAGAAAGCAGATAGAGGTGGAAGAAAGAGAATCATATCCTAAAAGGGCAGGGGGCAGGAGAGTGGCTAAAAAAATAAAAATTGGAGACATAAAAGCATTCAGCACACAAAAGATAACGTAGAACAGTCTGGTTTTATTACTCATAAGTAATAAAGAGCCCTTTCCTTGATTATTCTTTCTTCCCCCTTTTTTCATTCTTTTTTTTTTTCTTCTTTTCACAACATAGATTAAACTGTGAATCAGATGTTAGGGTGTGTGGAGACAGAAGGAAAATTGGTGACATCACAACATTTTTACAATGTTACAACCAATGTGAGTCCGAGTTTGCTGCATTTACAGCTTCTAGCCAGGCAAAGGCCTGCTCAGGTTTGTGGATGACACCCCAACACAGGATGAGGGCAGAAAGTGAGAGGGACACTTAAATGCTGAAGACCAGCTCA